AACATTAGTGGGAATTGGTGGTACAGCTGTTCTGTTTCTGAGGTGCTGCCTCCTCTCATTCTGCCTCAGGCTGGGCTCACATTGTGCCAACATGTGGCTCCAGAGAGCCAGTCTGTGTTGGGTGGGGTTGTCCACGCCCTGGAAATGAAGAGCCCCATTCCTGCAGATTTTATAGTCAACATTTACTAAAAAACGTCTTTCGGATGAGACGTTAAACCGAGGTCCTGACTCTCAGGGGTCATTAAAGATCCCCAGGCATTTCTCGATAAGAGTAGGGAGTTATTCCGGTGTCTGGGCCAAATTCCCTCCCTCGGCCTTTACTGGGGCCTCCAAATTGTCCCCATGTGTGATCGGCTTGCACTTGGCCCGCGATGGACTGGCGTCCCATCCAGGGTGTATCCTGCCTTGTGCTTGTTGCTTGCTGGGTAGGCTCCGGCTTCCCGCAACACTATATGGTATAAAGCGGTTTGGCAAATGACATGACATTTACTAAAGGCTTGGAACATTTGTACTGTAATCAGTTATGCAGGCAGATCTGCTCAATTTTGTGTACCCAAAAATATAGTGAGCCCTGTAGTTTCCCAGGCACCCACAGGCTTGCGGTGCTGTCAGTGATGGACGCACCTCTTCTCCAATCAGAGCAGATCTTCCTGCAGGGGGCGGGGCTCCCCATGACACGTCGTCAGGGGGAGGGGCTCAGAGGTGGGCGTGTCGGCGGAGTCTGCCCACACTTCCTCCCTCTCACCTGTTTGTCAGTTTTGGAGTTTGGAGATCAGAGCTGCGACGTGTTCAGCAAGATGTGCAACACGCTCAAAGGGTTCCCTTTGGATGGGTATAGCCAAAAAAAAAATCAGTTCTGTTTTTTGTCTTTTCTTTTTTTTAAAAAGAGAGGGTTGGTTTAGAGTGACATGTAGATAGGGGCTCACCAGGGCCTGGGCAGCAGACCCAGATAATGATGAAGCGATTCGGTACAGTGTAATAAGGGGGGAGTGTGGAGGAGGTGTGCAGGTAACTCGCAGGCTGTTTCTCTCTGTGCAGAAGCTGCCGTTCACCATCCCAGAGCTGGTGCAGTCCTCCCCGTGCCGCAGCTCTGACGGAGTCCTCTACACAGGTGAGAGGCTGGCCTGGCGCCTTCGGTCTGTTGATCTAATAATAATTACAAGGAACTTCGTTTTCTGAAGCATCTCTCCTAAAAGGATGCCTTAACGCACTGTGCAGTAAAAACCCAGGGGAAGCAATATTCAGTATAAAAGAAAGAGTACAGCAAGATACAGCAGACATCATCGGATCCAGGGGAATGTCGCTTGAAATCAGTATGTTTAAAGCGAGGTTTAGAAACGGTGCCTGATCAAGCCTTTCCATGATGAAGTGGAGTAACTGACTCCTCTGCTGGGAACTGCGAGTACAGCTGGGAGATGGCAGGTTGAGCAGATTCCAGCCCTGTCCGGTGTCAGTCTCACACCGCTGGGATTGAGAAGCTGTCTGCTCTGTGGTTTCCAGGGAAGAAGCAGGACTCGTGGTTTGTGGTCGACCCCCAGACTGGACAGAAACAGACCAGCCTGACCACCGGCTCCTCGGATTCCATCTGCCCCTCCGCCCCCCTGCTCTACATCGGACGCACAGGTCTGACCTCCCCTTCCCGGCTGGATACTTCCCGCTGCTTTCCTTGTTTTGCAGGGTTTCGTAAGGTGGAGAGTTTCTTTCCTTCACGGTATTCCCAGATCCTATTGGTCTGTGTTGAGAGAGATATGAGCAGAGTCTACTCGTCTGCCCCCAAGCAGATTACCGGGTGTGTGCGCGTGCGAGAGCCCGTGCGAGAGCCCGTGCGAGAGCCCGTGCGAGAGCCCGTGCGAGAGCCCGTGCGAGAGCCCGTGCGAGAGCCCGTGCACGTGCAAAAGTGAGAGTGTCATGTGCGGCTGGCAGTACGTGGACTGAGGGACTCTGACTCTCTCTTTCCCCTTGGTTTCCAGAGTACGTGATCACCATGTACGACACGAAGTCACGCGAGCTCCGCTGGAACGCCACCTACAATGACTACTCTGCCCCTCTGTGGGACGACAAGTACGACTACAGTACGTGCTCCGCCTGCTCTGTCGCCCCGTGGGTTACACTGCGATGGTCTCAAGCTCACACACGGGGACATTTGAACCCTGTGGTGTGGAAGGTATTCTTTATTTAGGGGTAGTTTTGCACAGCCTGATGAGTCCCGGACTAAATTAGCATGGGGTTAACCAAGGAAATTAGTGCTTTTAAAAAAATTGATGTAGCTTAAAACTCATGTTAGATCTTTGAATTTCACCGATTCTGCAGGAGATACAGAGTCTTTTCTAATTAGATAACGCTCTAATTCACTGCTGAGCGTACGAGATCTTTGAGGAGCTTGCTTTCTTAATGACAATTGCAGTGCGTCAGCTCTTCAGCACTGTAGCAGCGAGTTTCTCCGGGTCAGATGATAACAAGACACGTGGATGTGTCCCAGTATCTTGGATTTAAAAGGATGGATGTCTCTTGCCCTTTGTTGTGCAGAGTTGAACAGAATCATGTTGTCCAGCAGCCGGTGTTCCTCTCGTAACTGTGCAGTGTCCCACGGTGCCGTCTGTGCTCCCCTGCAGAGATGGTGCACTTTGCGTCCAGTGGGGATGGGCTGGTGGTGACAGTGGACCGGGACTCTGGCGACGTGCTTTGGATGCAGAACTATGGCTCCCCTGTGGTGGGGGTGTACCTGTGGCTGCAGGACAGCCTGCGGCGGGTCTCCCACCTCAACCTGGCCATGGAGACCCTGCGCTACCTCACCTTCACCTCCCAGCACGTCCACACGATGAAGTGGAGCTACCAGTTCGTCAGGGAGCAGGCCAGCACCAAGACACAGCTCATGTAAGATGGAGAGAGGGGAGGGGAGGGGCTGAGAGAGGGGAGGGAGGGGCTCAGATGGGGAGGGGAAAGCTTGAAGGGGGAGGGGCTCAGACGGGGGGGTGGCAGAACTGGGGGTGTGGCTGTAAGAATGGAGAGGTAGGCCTGAAAGAGGAGGGGCTGAGAGAATAGAAGGGAGGTACTAAGAGAGGGGAGGGGAGGGGCTGAGATGTCAGAAGGGGGAGGGGCTGAAAGAGGGGAGAGGAATGTCTGAAGGGGGAGGGGCTGAGAGAAAGACGAAGCAGAAGAGTCAGGAGATGAGCAGGCCAACAAGAGGACAGACTGTGAGAGAGCGAAAAGGGGAGGTTATGAGAAATGCCAACACAAGTGTTGGGAGGGAGATCAGAGTAAGAGAAGAAATGAGCGGCTGAGAGAGAAGAGGCCTGGAGTGGTAGAGACAGGCTGTGACACTAAGAGACCTAGTGCCCGCACTCGTTTTGTGAGTACGCTGTGATGGAGTGCTTCTGGGTGGTCATGGCCAGTGTCACTGTGCCACTGAACGCCCTACAGCTTTTGCTCATAACAATTCCCAGTTTATCAGTCTTCAGGCTTCATACTTCTTGTTGTCAACCATAAAACTGGTTGTACAAAGTTGCCTGGGGACTACAATACAAACCGTGCTGGGGTGCATTCATTAGCAAATTAATTAAGATAGACTGAGAGGAGTGCATCTTGAGTGCACAGACTGTGGCAGCCTGCTCAGGTGCTTCACTGTGTCTTGCCTTTTCTCAGGGTCCCTTTTCGTACTTTGCCTCGTAACTTGTTCTTTCCTGTCGTGTTTCAAGAGTTTGCTAGAAAGCAAACAGTACGACAGACAGACAAACCCTAGGAGAAGGACCAGTTAGGTCTCCTCAGACGCCGGGCAGAGAGACGGGGATAAAAACGGCGCTTGTGTTTCTCGCCCTCAGGCCCAGCCTGTACGTGGGAAAGTTCGACTCGCATTTCTACGCCTCGACGGCGCTGGT